GAAATACAGGATATGGGATGTGCACCCTACGTGTCAGTATCTATCTATCCGCCCCTTCAGCCGCAGATATAGGATATGGGATATTGCCACACGTCCGTGTCTATCTATACCCTTTTCCAACCCCGAAATATGGATATGGCATAGGCCGCCTGCACGTTGAGGATGTGGGATATGCCCCCTGCGCCCCCCCGACCCAGGCAAAATTTCTCCACGTCAGTAGCTATGTATTCCCTTTCCCCGCCCAACATATGGGATATGGGATTTGACTCCTTCGCGGCAGTATCTATCCATCCGCCCCTGCAGCCGCAGATATAGGGCATGAGATATCCCCCCACGTCAGTTTCTATCTATCCCCCTTTCCAGCCCGAAATAAAGGATATGGGATTTGCCCCGACGCTTTTTGACTTTTTTGGTTTTGTGACTTCGGATTTTTTTCGACTGTTCGGTTTTTTTTTGACACTTTTAGCTTCACCTTTTGTCCCAGATCTGCGTGGCAATGCGTGATCAAACGCACCAAATGCGGTCTAGCCAAAAGGGTTCACTCGGTTTTAGGGTTGGGATGCTCACCTGCAGAGGCAACGAAGACAGGCTTTAATTTTGTGTTGGGCGACTGTTCCATGCCCAGTGCTTTGACCTGACCGCTATGACTCAGCCGCCAACTCCTGTAGGATGCTAATTTTGGGCCTTGCTGTGAGTCACCTCCTACAATTACCTATACCATTCCCTGCGCTTCGTTTATAAGTATGGTATAATGTACCCCAAAACCCTGTTGAAATCGTTGATGCATTGCAGGACATTTAGGGGAACAGCTGTAGAGAAAGATGTGGGGCCAGTTTGACTTGAGCACCAGGCCTCTTTCGATGTAAGGCAATGTGTAAGCTTTGTGAGAACCATCTCGCACATTCTACCCCTAATTATTGTTATTACTACTATTACTGTTAGTATAATTATTACTACTAATATCATGCCAACTGCTTACTGCACCTACCAACTGACTACTGCACCTACCGGCCGACTACCGCAGCTACCAACTGCTACGCCTAATAGCGGAGTACTGCAGTGAGCGCAACTCTTACATTTCGGATTACCAAACAAGGCTATTCTAGGAACCCATAGCTTTTCTTTCATTTTCTTGTTTTCTGGCGTGACAAAAATGAAGGCATTCAGAAAACACCATGGGTCCCAAAAAAAAGAGCCTACACAAGGTTTATAACGTGTTGGGGTCCACATTGGCGTCCCCCTTTTGTGTGAATTCCAAAATCTGGCAGACATAGTAAGTAAGAAGAGAAGCGATACACATGTGAGTGTTGTCAACGCTGGTCATAGCAGCAGAGTATTGCTTCCATTGCTCGTCACGGCACTACAAATCACAAAGACAATGATGGTATTCAGCAATAATGTCTCAGATCAGCATGTCACAAGTGACTGCTGGGTTACTTGGTTATACTGGTCTTGAACTTATTCAGAGTCTTTCAGGCCTGCCTAAGCCTTTTGATTGGGTGCATTGCTCGGCTGACGGCGGGTATGACGCATCTAGACCCAGTAACCACTTCACCTCCCTCCTTGAACTTCTGTGAGCGTAAGATCTTCACCGGGATCCCCCTTGCAGCTCGAGCTTCACAGTGGGAACATAACAAATAGCAATACTGTGATTGCGACTAGTTGCAGTCTGAATGCTAATGGCAAGGAGTGGAATCAACGATTCTGAGATCTTAGCATTATGTTACTAACATAATCATGGTTTTTGCTCATCAGACATTTGTTGCGTCAGACCAGAATAGTGATGAACACACAGACGAGAACATTTCTTGAACGTACAGCGTTTACTGCTGGTGACAGGAATCGTTTTTGTCGGGGCATATGGTGGATGATGAAGGGAACAGCAGAAGGAACACATTTTCGTTGGGGCATATAACAGACCAGAAAGGAGTAACAGCAACGCTAGCAAACACGTTGTTATGCTCGTTGCAGCAGATAATTCAATGGCCGTCATAGTGTCAATGATACTGCACATACAGTGAGTGAGGGAGTGAGTGAGTTAGTGGTGGCTCACTGCACGAGGTGTAAAAGTGTAACAGGGGAACAGGCCATTCCCCTGCAAGTAGGGTCCTCGAATTAGAGGGGTGAAGACCAAAGCTCTGGTCAGCGCCCACCCGGACGAGGCGGTATTTACTGATCATAAAAAGAGAGTTGTCTCAGGCAAAAAAGGAAAAAGACAGGCAAGGGCAGATTGCAACTAAAGTTGAGCAACACGAGAAACATGATCAGGCAACAGCATTAAGGAACAAGCATGCAGGAAAATAGGGTGCTGCAAAAGCCACATAAGCAATTTGCAGCGGCATAGGCAGAAAAGCAGACTCAAGGGGTAGCAATTTCGAAGCTAAGCCCTAGCAGTCCCCAAATAAACCACCTCCTCGGTCTCTTTTGGAATGGGACTTGCTACTTCCTACAGCTTTCCGTCGATGCAAGCGTGAGGCTTTCCATAGAAAATGGCATGGACATCATCCCGGGCTTCTGCTTCGGTGAGAAGTGGATCCACCACACCATCAGGCAATAGCAGCAATAGACATAGTAGCAGTGCTACGAGTAATAATAACTGTAGCAGTGATACTGATAAGCATGGTTGGAATCGGAATAATACGACACCGCACTATTAGGCTGCCGCACTTCATCCAGAGAATTCTTCGTCCTCTGAGGCCAATTCCTCAGCATTCTCAGCATTGTTAGAGTTTGGCGGAGGGATGCTCATACCGAACGGACCGCGCCATTGCGTTGTTCTGCTATGTTCTGCTATCGCACTTATTGCCCTTGCAGCCAAGCGAGCTTGTGCCAAGAAATGCGTGACATGTTCCTGACGCATGCGCTCGCGTCATCCCTGTTCCACGCAATTGCTGCTGCTCTGCCAAGTGGGTCTGCTTAGGACTGGCTGGTGCGCTTGTGAGATGTAGCTGATGGTTTGTGTACGTCACCGCGGCTGAGGATGAGTGACACGCTGCGCAACCCTCACACTGTCCTTTCGTCCACAGAAGTCCCGGCTGTAGCGCAGAGCCTGAGGCTGCGAGGGCGAGGGATTACTCTGATGGGATTTCTGGATCCTCCGCTTGCTTATGTATGGGGCGAGCCCATCAAGGCCAGCAACCGTCAAGCTGGCCCTTTCCATGCACGTGGTGCTTCACAGGTTAGACAACAGAAGCCAGTTGACGACAAGTACTTGGACGAGGCCTCCCTCCTTCGCATCCGCATGCTTTTGTGCTGGCTTCGGCCGAAATTGCCTGCTGTTGGCCATAACCGTAGCTAGTCCATAGTCGACCATGCAAGGTGCACCAGAAAGTTGCCGAGTCCGTCGTCAGCATCTTTAAGAGATACAAGGCCATGCATCCTGCCAAGAGTTCTGATGGAGGTGTTTACAAAACAGGGCCTTCCTTTTCTTCAATGCATCTGTGGAAGGCACGTTTTGGTTATGCGGAGGATGAGACTATCTCTCTTGTCAGCGCGGCGGATGCCAAAAGAAAGGCGCGATGAATTTGTAAATGGGACAGATCTAGGCTCAAATGAGGGAAGAAACAGAACGGCTGCTTTTCCTCCCATTCTAGTGAGAGATCAATGCTTGCAACTGATTTCTGACCCGTCCATCCTCCATAGCCTGCGTGTTGGTTCCTTTGAAGTCTGTACGTCAATGCAAGTTCCTCCCATACGGCACTTGTCAGTGGGGTAACAGCCATCATTGTGAATGAAAGGAAAAGGACCAGCCCACACTTGAGCTAAGAGGAGAAGTGCTCTCCCCTTGTGGGGATTCCCCTATAACAAGGATCATACTGTTTTCGGGTCAATATTCAACTCCGCTATTTGCCCGCTTGTGGAGACGAAGCCGTCTCACCAAGTTGTCTTGGTTTACTGGTTCTGCTGATAAAGCCAACGGAGAAGAAGGTTCAACAGTTCAACCGATTGAGGGACATTCACTTCTTCAAGCTGTCAGGTTATTGAAAAGAAGCGAGACTGACTGACCAAGCAGCGCAACGAACGATGGTTAAGCGGCTGCTGCAGCTGATGAAGCAGCCATTTGTTTCACCACGAGCTGCGCACCCTGTTATGTATAGGCAGGGCCTAGATTTGCTTCTTGACAAAGTGGCCGTGCTGGATTGATTGCAGTGTTCATCAGGTAGGAAGCCTATCCAGTTCTGCTCAGCCCAATGTCTGCTATCAAGAACTGCACGGAACAGCCAAGCTTACAATGCAGCTGATGGCCAATGGCATGCCCGAGTGAAATGCTGAAACGGAGGCAGCTGTTTATGCAATGCTTAGCTCCTATGGCATCTAGCACCATTCAGGAGGGAACAAGGGAATATATTCGGGTTATCTAGGGATAACGGAAGAGAAAATCGAAACTACTACATTATTGTAGGGTAAATATTGGCTACGTCTAAGCTTTGTGTGACGCGGATCTTAGGGCCATCTTGCCATGTCCGCAAGGATTCGACAGGCTGGGCCTGCCTGAATTGGCTTTTTTGTGCACTTTACATCATATTGGGGGTATATAGGGGTTATAGAGTACATATTGTGGTTATATATAGGGAGAATGGAAAAGAAAATGGAAATTGCTATTTAGCGATTGGGGTTAAAGGGTATATATTGGGGTTATACAGGGATAATGGAAAAGAAAATGGAAGCTATTTGGGGACATATAGGGGTGATAAGGTATTTGGGATTCTAGATACCCCGACCCCTATACTGAGCAGCTTCTAACTACCGCATTCTGATTATGATAGGCTCCTATTTTGAGCAATGGAGATCTCCTAAACCCTAAACCCCTAAGCCCTAAACCCTAAACAAGATCTCCTCATATTACATGTTGTCAGTGCAGGTCATGTGTTGACCTCCATGGCCAGCAACTACTTGCCCGAGGGCTCGCAGGACAGGAAAGCCGTAACTATTGCTCTCACAAACCTTAGGCTTGCTAACTTTATCATTATTACTATTTTTTATTATTACTATGTTATAGTACGATTACTAGTAGCCGACCTTTCAAACTACTTAGAGGTTGCTGGAACGCCCTTGGAGAGGACTGCTATCGCATGTTTTCGCCTGCTCTTTGCTAATCTTTGCCGGAACTCCCTGCGCAGGTCCAATGTATTTCGCCGACAGGGCAACGAGTTGTATTGCAAGGAGGGGAAGGGGAAGCAATCATTTCAACCACAGATGCATGTGATTGAAGGCCAGAGAGGTGGCTCGAAATGCGGACCCTTACACAAACTTGAGGGGTGTGCTGCGGCCTGAGCTTTAAAAGCTTTTTCAGGGGCAGCTTCGACAGAGACTTGCATGCCGTGCGCCTGACCCAGGCAGGAATCGGTGAAGTTATTCCAGGCTGCCATGGCCGAGTATGGCAAGGCGCAAAGCCCAAGACTCTTCTGACTTCTGACTGATTGCTGCTCAGTGTATGCAAGCTCATCAAGCTTGCCCTCAGGCTCTGCACTTTCTGCCGAATGACCATCGCCTGTGCACATCTCAGAAGTAAGCTACCACTTTTTTTGCATCTTCCCCATGCAGCTTTCAACCTCCACCAAGCGGAGCTTGCGGTTCGCTAAGAGTCAAGAAAGAAGAGGATGGATGACTTTTATAAGCTGCGGTTTAGGGTTTAGGGTCCTCTAGTTGCATTTAGTCGCCTGCAAACATGCTCCTGCATTAGCAATAGCGAGCACAACAGTGAGAGCGATGACAACAATAGTAACAAGGGAAAAACAAGTATAACGAAACAACAACAACAACAACAACAACATCATCAATAACAACTGTCATAGTCCCCAAACCCTACACCCTAAACTCTGGGGAAATTTCAGGTTGCAGTTTCCCTCATACAAGCTTTATGTAGCCCTTATATACCTTTACACTTCCCATGCAAGCCATATGCAAGGTATTCGCCCTATACCCTGAACCCTAAACCGCAAAAAACACCTGGTAACTACTGATTGCTTGCGCGGGCTCCTCGAGCTTGGGGCTGTTGAGGTTTGGTAATCGCGCGCTGTGCTACCAGGCCAACTTCTAGAAAAGCTGTGCAACAGCTTAAATAGGGCTTATTGCGTTGTATGAGCTATAGTCTAAACTCCTTCAAGGGCGTTATATAGGGAATTATAAAGGGGGGTATTATAGAGGTTATTAAGGGGGATTCTACGGTAGGAGTTTCGACTGTAGCTTATATCGGGTGACGGGTACATATTTCTGTCAACGTGTAGATTTTCTGAGGGTGCGCATAGGCCTCGCAGCTTCGGCGGTGCGGGAGGGAAAAATTGGATCGTGATCACATATGGGGATGATTTAGGATACCAACAATGGAGAATCAAATGCAAGAGACAATGGAAGATACATGGAAATTGTCGGTATAGGGTTATCTAGGGATCATATCGGGTCATATAGGGTTCATAGATTAGCTGGAGTAGACCACATGCGCAGGCTGTGGAAGATTGGGTAAAGTGCCGAGAGGATGCGCTGTGACGATGTTCTTTCTGCCTGCGCCAGCAGCTTTGCTAGTCCTGGGGCAAGGATGCACAGCGGTGCATCAAGCTGAAAAATGATTATGCGAAGGGCTGGCTTCTCTTTGCCACGCGCTGAGTGAGACCAACTTGAGGCCTTATGCTGGGCGTATGTGGGGCTGCATGAGGTCAAATCTACCTGGGAGCAAGGCTCACAGAAACTGATCCTTCCAGCAGCCTTCCGGTAAGAATGCTGAAAAGATGAAGGTCGAATTGATGGGTTTAAGGCTGGGACACCACCATGAAGCCCTGCAGGAGCTGCAAAATGGTACGCTCCCTAACCCGCAGGGAGCCTCGGTGTCAAAAATGTGAAAGCACATACTCTCAGGCTTGCGGGCAATACCTGCTTGCCGGGATTTGCTGGACCTCCAGGCTTGATGCCGTCATCCTTTGCTGTGCCAGTTTCACTGAACAGTCACAGAAACGCCCTATATAGCCCTATATATTAGTTTCCATTTGATTTTCTATCTGATTCTCGAATTATTGGGGTAATCGGGTAATATCCTTGAACCCTATATGAAATGACCTCTTCAGCAGGCTGCTCTCACTTCAGGTCTGTGCCTTGCTGTCATTGATCCCAGTTGGGCCCAGCATTCATTTGCATTGCAATTGGAGGCCACCAAGCTCGAGTGCCAGGGCGAAGTGTGTACAGCCCTCAGCATCCTTCACCACTTCAAGCTGCTGCCAGATGTGGTAGTTTCCCAAAACAGGGGGGCCCCAACATAGACCCCAAAATACTATGTTCCTTATCATAGGGACCGTAAGGTACCCCCTAGTTTTGGGAATCTCCCATGCGACTCAGCCAACGTTTACGTTCCCTGTCCCAGGTCTCCAGCATGCACCCCTGGGAACACGTTTTGCCCTTGATGAGTCGGCGGATGCTGAAGCCACTGATCCTTTGGAAGCTGAACTGAGTCCCCCCGTGTCGCGTTCAACGACGCCGACTAGATCTTTCACACCGCCCCCGACGCATCCTCAGACATCATCTGAGATATTGTCAGTGTTGGGCTTAGTATGATATTGAATATGTCCCCGAATAGGAACCCCTCTCCATGAATTATACTGAGAAATACTAATGCCCATGATCCCCTACATTACTCCCACTTTCCATGTGATCTTTTTTTTGGGTTTTCCATTAATCATGGGAAAATATGGGCTGTAGTTCATATTGGGTTATACAGGGATTATAGGGGAATGGGAAAGAAGAGGAGAGCTACATCATCAGACATCGTCTACATTCCGCTCCGTCAGCCCTAAGCCCCAAACCCTAAATCCTAAATCCTAAGCCCTAAATCCGAAAGCCTAGCCTAGACCCGAAACCCTAAATCCAAAACCCAAAGCCCTAGTTTTGCTTAGGGCTTGGATGGTGCCCTTCATGGCTCTGCTTCGTTTTCAGCTGTGTCCTTGTTCTGGGGCATGTTACCTTGCAATACTGTCATGGCCATGCAAGTGGCAAAGCCCAAAACCCTAAACCCACTGCCCAGGCATCCGTCTGCGAGCCTGGCCTGCTTGAAGGATGTTTAGGCTTTAGGATTCTAGGGTTTAGGAGTTAGGGTTTAGGTTTAGGGCTTCGGGTTCAGGATGTAGGGTTCAGGGTTTAGGGTTCAGGGTTTGGGGTTTATGGAAGGGAAGTATGGAGTTATGTAGGTACATGTGGGTATAGGGGTGTATCGTGTCATGTAGGCAGATATGGCTCAACCCAAACCCCTAAACCCTAAACTTGTCAGACTTCTTGTTCATGGAGGCAACATTGCCAGCTATTTCGCTTGCAACCTCTGGAAAGTCTCCAGTGCCGCTTGGCTCCCTACAAGACCAATGTAAAACCTAGCCTAAACTCCTTTGAAGGTTATATAGAGGCCTCTAAGGGAGTATTGGAGGGGCTATTAATCAAGGGGGATGCTGGAAGTTTAGACACTGGCTCATTAAAAACGAGTTTCCATTTCATTGCCCACTCTCTTTTCCGTTCCATAATCAGGCTAAGGTCCCTACATAGTCCCT